TCTCATCCTCTTTTTTTTTTTTTTTTTTTTGGTACTGGGAATCGAACTCGGGTCCTTGTGCTTGCGAGGCAGGTGCTGGAACCACTGAGCTAAATCCCCACCCCCTCATATTTTTTATTGGTGGGTCCAGTAGCTTCTCTTCTGGCTCTGAGAATGTTGATTTCAATTTCTGGCATTATCTCGGTTTCTTTAGAGCTGTTTTTTTTTTATGTTTTGATATTTGCATTGGTTTGGATTTTTGTTCAAATTTGTTTTAAGTTTCCAGTGCCTACCTTTGGTGTGCAGATTTCAGGGAGGAGGAAAGGCCCCATTTTTTTGTGTTTGTCCATTTCCCTAGAGTAAATGCTTCTACCTTGGCTGATTTTGAGTTATATGACATAAGGCATATTGAAAAATTCCTGATAATTTGGCAAATGTCAGGAGCAACTTCAGCATGTTACTGTCTCTGTCTTCCCTTCAGTGTCTGGTGATTTCTGCCTGTTTATAATAAAAACTGAGTCCTTAGGGCTGGAGTGTAGGTCAGAGGTAGAGCACTTGCCTAGCATACACCAGGGCCCCACCACTGCCGATCCATCCTGGGTCTGGGTTGTAGATGGGACTTGTCTTCTGGAGGCCTCACCATAACATGAGACCCCCAACATTTCAGATTGTGGGTTTTTCTTTCTTCCCTTAGGCAGGACAGTTTTTTTTTTGTTTTGTTTTGTTTTTTGTTTTTTTAATTCCTGGCTGCTGGCAGAGGTGCCTTAGAACCTGTCGTTAATACTTTTGGGATGGAGGGGGGAAAGGGCCTGAGAGTGTCACCATTTAGTTTGTGGTCATTCACTTAATCCCATTCTGCTTGGTAACCTCATCTCCTCTGAGGTTAGTGCCCCTAATTCCAGGTGTCTTGGATTCAGTCTCTCCCGGAAGTAAGGAAGTGACCTCCGTGTTCTCTGAGGCAGAGGGTGGGGTGGGGCAGCCAGCTGACTGCATGGCTGTGGAAGTAGCATCTGGAAGTCTAATTGCTTCTTGTAGAAATTTTCAATCAGCTTTCCTGCTTTCAGGACACCCGTACCTCTGCTTTCAGGGGGTTCTACAACCTTCAGTCCTTCGGCTTTCCTGGGGTTGGAGTCTGCTTCCTGTGGGTGCACCTGACTCCCATCCCTACTCTGGCTTGAACAATCTATAGCTTGATAAGTTGGTAGTCTCTCATCAGCTCTTTCCAGCTTCCAAAATCCTTACCATCATTTTAGCAGGGTCTCAAGAGAGAGGAAGTGCAGATCAGTCTCGAATCATCCATTTATACCAGGAGGCTCCCTCCTCCCCTACTCATGTGAGCCGCTCTTCTCACCCTTCAGATCTCTGATGAAACTTCACTTCTTCAGAGATCCCATCCTCCCTGTCCCCATTATCCACCGAAGCATGAAAGACCTAAAATTCACTGGCAAACAACGCCACCATCATTTATTATCTTGAGAAATCTGTGAGTTAGGCAGGGCTCAACATGGATGGTTCATTTGGAGGTAGACAATTCATTTCTGGCTGATTAGCTCACATGGCTTGCAAGTGGGATGACTACTTAATGGGAGCCCAGCTGGAGTGCTGGCTTGGGCCAACATAAACCATTAAGGGGTACTTGGGGTTCACGCAGTGTGGCTGCTGAGTTTCCAGTGTGAGTGCCTTAGAAACAGGAAGGGGAAGGGGTTGGTGTGTGTGAGCCCTAGGCCCAGAAGGCAGCTCTGGCACCATATTGTATTGACTACGAAGAGTCCTGCCAGCTGTCTCTACTGTATCTTGGGATTAATATTTACAGAGGTGGCTGAGTGATGACACAGGGAAGCTAAGAGTATAGAAAGACAATTTAATTACTCAGCTTGAAGAGGAGGGCCCAGGCCACACCACACAGGACCACACGGGAAAGCCCTAGCCTTGTTGAGGAGGCAGAGGAGGAAGAGGCAAGCAGGGGCCTGAGCCTTTGTTGTGTTTCCCTGGAAAGGAAGCTGTAGACTGCAGGGCTAGGACTGGATTGTGCAGATGACTACCTTGGCTCTGGGCTACAGAGGTGGTTCTGTTGCCCAGGACTTGGCCCTGAGATAGGGAAATATTAGTGTGTGAGAGTTGCAGAAAGGAGGTGGTTAGAGATACAGGGTTTGGGTTGATTCATTTGTAGATGAAAGATATATTTAAAGGCAAACTGTTCAATATCTCTAGGAATTGGCTCACTCTGGGGAGGGTCAGTCTTTCCCAGCCAGCTAACCCTCAAAGATGTCATAATATTATAAAATAAATTTGTTGCTAAAGCTCCAGGTAGGAGGGAAAGAGCCCCGGATGGATGTTCCTAGGACCAGGGGATGGTACCTGGTGGTACCCGTGTTCCTTTGTTTGCTTTAAAGCTTTAATTTAGTTTATTTCTGGAAAAATTAATACATCACTTAACACAAAAGTGCATACAAGTGGGTCCAGGGATTTAGCTTAGTGGTGCAGCGCCTGCCTCACAATCACAAGGTCCTGAGTTCCATTCCTGGTACCAAAAAAGAGTACATACAAGTAACTATCCTGTCTTAGAGAGTGATTACAGAGAAATAGCACACATGAAACTTTCTTGGCATAGAGCAAGGAACAAAGTGTGGAGAGTCCGTCATATCCCCCCTTCTTGTCACACTCCAATTGTTATTTGGGATTAAGATTTAAGATTTCAGATCTCTCAGTGACAATGAATCAAAGCCCCCCATTTCTTCTTTCCCCGGATGGGAAAGGAGCTTGTGACATCAGATGACCAAAAGAGGCTGGCCCAGGTAGGGCTTTCCAAGGGTCCCCACTCAGGTGTCAGTCAGTAAGAGGAGTGAAGATGGCACCTTTTCCCAAAATGACCTGGCCAAGGAACCCTTCTGTAATGTGATGTTACTAGGATTCCATGGAACACACTGGAAAAGGCTTCAAAGGCAGCTATTTGTTTGTTTGTTTTGAGGCAGGGTCTTGCTATGCAATTCAGGCTGGCATTGAATTCACGAGGATCCTCCTGCCTCCGCCTCCGGAGTGCTGGGATTATAGGCATGCACCACCACGACAGGCAAAGGTGGCTCTTATGTGTGTCAGCAAGTAGGACAAGGGTCCTGTGAATTGCCCAGACACTCCGGATGGTCCTGGTCAAGTCACTGTCCCTCTGGGCCCTGGATTTTGAAGGATGCTATTAGCTGTGGCACTTTAAGCAGGCAAAGTAATATCATAGTTGAGGGCATGAATTCTGGCTTCAAAAGGCCTGTGTTTAGTGAATGGTCTTGTCACGATTCTGTGCGGCCTCAAGCAAGCCCTTTCATCTCTCAGCCTCGGGATCAAAACAGACTCCTCATAGCTGCAGGAGTAATGTGATCATACATTTAAGAGCTGGGGTGTTGATCAGTCATAGCATGCTCAAGGGCCTGAGTTCGATACTGGGGGGAGGGATGGAGGGAGATCTTACACATCCAAGATGTATGAAGCAGTGCCTGGTCCACCTGTGAGCACAGCGTTCAACCCACCTGTCTCCCACTGTCTCCCCCAACACTGGAGCATCTGGAAAGCAGACAGAGGGTGATGGCGGCCCTGGCAGGGAATTACTTGGCAGAGAGGTAGTAGGTGGTCTCGGGTTAGACCCCCGTGGATGGGACTCTGAAAAAAGAGAGGTCTGGTTCCTGTTACTGTTCCCTGATGCATCTTCTCCTAGGTACCTCGGAGATGGCCCGGATATGGCTGCCCTGCCTCCTGCTTCCTGCCCTCTTGGTGTCAGGTGGGTGCCTCCCATGCCCCACACCACAGCAGCACTTAGCTAGGGACCTGCAGCAGGACCCTCCCGAGGGGAGGGCTTGCCCTGATGCCCTGGTTAGCAACCGGAGCTCCTTTGGCCGGTCCTGTGTGGGGTGCTGCCCTGGGGATGGGTGGGGACAGAGCCCAGTCTTAGGCATAGTGTGAGTTTCCAGGGGAGTGGGTGGGAGGCTTTGCAAGGGGTCCAGATGTTCCATTGCTTTGTCCCTACAGTGGCAGCCAATGTGCCCCCGAGGTTCGAGGCCAACATGTCGAGTGTGTCTTTGCCTGAGGACCTACCATTGGGTGAGTAAAGCTCCCTGTGCCTGGACAGAGCTAAGCCCTGACCCACAAGGGAGTTCCAGGGCTCCCTGTTTGGTCTACCGCATCCCTGCAGCCTTGGGGCTGGTCATGGGACAAAGGTGGCCTGAAGGGAGTCGCGTTTTCACCTCTTCAGCTTTTGTGTCATGGGTGTCAGATGTGAGGGGACTTCATGTAGCACCAAATAAGGAGGATGCCTTCTATTGCCTACTTTCAGTTTTCTGACTTCCCCAAGGAATAGACGCTGTTTGGGATCATTTTTTGTTTAACTCTCATACTTTTGCTAATCTCTCTCTACCTGCGCCACTGAGCTAAATCCCTGGCTGCACCTGCTTCTGTGGTTGTTGTTGTCATTTTTAACAAAGAGCCTCAGGCTCAGAGTATTTCCCAGACACTCCTTGCAAGAAGCTAATAAATTTGCTTTGCTTTCGTTGTCTTTAGTCTTTGTAGCGTTACTTTTTCTCTACGGCAAATGAGAGGCATTTTCCACCTACAGTAGCGAGCTGAGGTTTAAAAATAAATGTATTACATGCAATAGTAATGTTGATTTAAAGAATAATCAAGGCAGACATAGTAGATTTCAAGTTCAAGGACAGGCCAGCTTGGGCAACTTAGGAACAGCAGGTCTCAAAAAAAGAAGGAAAAAAAGGAGGAAGAAGAGGAGGAAGGGAAGGGGACAGGGAGGAGAATAGGAGAAGGAGGAAGAGGAGAAGAAATAATAAATAATGATATGTGGATATGGAGAAGGCCATGGCAGTGGAACCAAAAGGGCTAAAGTCTTAGCAATGTTATTTTACACAAACTCTGAGGACTGAGTACCAGTTCCCAGTAGGCAGGATATGGATTAGGGGAACAGAACAAGTAGATGGCTGTAATTGTTGCATCCAGGGTGTACCTTGTACCACTGCTCTGCTGAAATGCACAGCTAACAGAGATCATAAAACAGCAACAGCATTGTGTCTGCCTGGCAAGTGCAAGGTCCTGAGTTGGATCCCCAGCACTGCAAAGACAAAATACAAAAAGGTAACAAACAACTCAGCAACAGTAAAATTGTTGAAAGGAACCACGTTTAAAATAAAGGAAGATGATTTATATGAAAGAGGGAGGGGAGGAGAAGATAAATAGCTACTCAGCAGACTAGGGGACATCTGAAAAGCAAATACCCAGGGATATTTATCCTCAGCTTCCTTTTCAATATTTACTTATTTATCCCACACCAGGGATGGAACTCAGGGCCTTGTGCTTTTGAGGCAGGCACGGCACCATTGAGCTACATCCCCAACCCTCAGCTTCCTTCTATTAAGATGGCGTCCCTGACCCATGATGAGAGCCTGGAACTCGTCACAACCTGATTGGCTCTCTGGCTGACTTTGAGCCTGGCCTGGGCACCTTTGCCTACTTTCTCTTCAGTGCTTTGATTCTTTCCCGCCATTTTGTGATGGATAAGTGTGGGAAAGGGGAGCCTCATAGAAAGCAGCTTAGAATCAGAAATAATAAAATGTGTATCTGCTGCAGTAATATATTGACCCTAGAGAATATACGTATATACATACATACATACATATATGAGTTTGTAGGTGGCCCCCCCGTTGTCTCCTATACATTTTATCAGGTTTGGGGGGCTGGTTACCCTGGTCTTTTCATGTTTCCAGCTTCATCTGTGTTTTGCCTGTCAACTCTTCCTGATTATTTTTATTTTTATAATTATTTTAAATTTTAATTAACTAATTATTTTTTCCCTTTTCCTGATACATTACTTTTTTTGTGGGGGGGCCTTGTTTTTCTCTCTTTCTTTACCTTTGTCTTGTTTGTTCGTTTTTTTGGGGGTTTGTTGTTGTTTTTGCTTGAGACAGGATCTTGCTATGTAATTCAGGCTGGCCCAGAGTGCCCTTGAACTGGAGACAATCCTCCTGCCTTAGTCTCCCTAGTGTTGGGATCACAGGCGTGCACCACCAGACCCTCTCTCTTTGTCCTTCTGATTGCTGGAGCCTAACTGCAGAGGCAAAAACATTTCCTATGAATTTCTTTCATAAAGCTAATGAGGCACTATTTCATTCATTGTCCTGTCTCTGGCCCCCTTTCCCTATACATTAATTGGGACTTCAAATAACAGACGTGTGTAAACAGGCGGAGGTTTATAACCCTAGTGCTGGTTGTCCAGGGCGGCCCCTTCCTCTGGGGAGTCGGGGGCAGAGCCTCTTCTTCCACCAATGCTGGGCCTTCTCCAGGGTGTGGCCTCCACCTCCATGGTCCCAGGTGGCTCATAAATATCCCATTCCAGCCACTGGGAAGAGAAGGGCTAAGACGCCATGTTCCTTTGTCATAAGAATCGGCTCCAGGAGCATGGATATTGGGGGACAATTCACAATCCTTGTCACAGTCTTAAAATTGGGACCCAGAAATATCTAAAGCTTCTAGATGAAGCAAGAGACCACATCAAAGAAAGCGAAAGCCTGGGATTCAGGACAAAAGTATAGCGGCTGGGCTCTGCAGACACAAAGGCCCCAGCTGTTTGGATAGCACTGCTGGGACAGAATGGTACAGGACCGGTTACATTAGTAAAAGTTTAGAGCCCAGAAACAGGGAGGTGGTCATTTCACTATATTCTGAGATGGTATAATCTTCCTTGGAGGACTAAACTCAGGTCAAATTATTTGATATCTCTGACTATTCTTTGTAGAACAGAGAAGTATGCATGTGAGTGTTATTTACATATATTTTCATAAATTTTCGTCTCAGATAAAAATAAACACACGTACACAGCGCCATACAGACATCACAAATATATTAACACAACTGCCCTCAAGGTCTGCTTCTGAGCCCTTAAATAAAACCTCCCGAGAGGCGTCTCTTTTCTGGGTGGTTGCTCCTCCTCGCTGTCCTTGGCCAGACCTGCAGCCCGGGTCCCCTGCAGCCAGCTCCTGCCCTGTTCTCTCCAGCTCTGCTCCCCACACTCTTCCTGTCCCCATCCCACTTCCTCCAGTCCCAAAACCAGTCTGAGTCTTTCGTGGCACGTCACAGCCTCTGCTGGAGGTTTGGGGGAGTGGAGGAGAGTGCAGCCATCTTGCCGTGGAGTCTGCTCCCAGCCTGGGCTACCTGTGTGGGCCTGACTCTTCTGCTAGCCCTGGGGTCCTGCACGTCTCCCTCTGGGCCTCTCAGGGAAATGAAAATCTGTCCCTGCCTCATTCAGAGCAGTGCCCCTTCCTTCTCTCAGCCAGGCCAGATGAGGCCTTCTGCAAGCTTTCTTAAATTGGAGTCATTTCCCCTTTCCTGAATGCTGCAAAATAAGAGTATTTTTTAATGTGATTTTGAAAAATCAGTTATTTGGACTCTTTATTTTGCAAGAGCTGTGCATGCAAAGATCGTCCACAGTTAGCCCTCTGTATCCATGGATTTTGATCCACTGATTCAATAACTATGAATCAAAACTTTTTGCAAAAAGGATTCCTTCTTTACTGAATATGGACACTTGTTTCTTGCCAGTGTCCCCTACACAATGCTGTATAGCAACGGCTTATGGAACACTTACATTGAATTTACTATTATGATTACCCCAGAGAGGATTTAAAGGCCAGGGATTTAGCTCAGTGGCACAGCACCTGCCTGGCAAGTGCAATCTCCTACGTTTGATCCCCAGGACCCCCCAAAACAAAACAAAACAAAAGAGATAATTTAAGGTCTACAGTGTGCATAGGTTATGTGCAAATACTACACTTTTTTTTTCTGGTACTGGGATTGAACTCAGGACCTTTCTTGACAGCAGGTTTGGCACCACTAAGCTCCATGCCTGTCCTCAGTTTTAATTTTTTATTAGTACCTGTTCCTGATATGTAAGGGTTCGATTCCTCATGGGGAGTTGATACACGTTCATGACACATCTTAACTTCTGTCAACGCCTTCTCCTTCCATCTCCGGTTCCCCTTTCCATACGAGAAAGATCTATCTCCCACTTTTCTTATTATCTATTGTTTATTGTGCTCTTCTCATAAGAGAAACTATGCAATATTTAAGCTTGTTATGTCTGGTTTATTTTGCTTATTTCACATTATATTCTCAAAATGTATCCAATTTCCTACAAATGACTCAAATTTATCCTTCTTTATGGCACAGTAGTACTCCTCTGTGTATAATACTACATTTAAAAAATCCATTTATTTGTTGATGAGCAAGATTTAGCTATTATGTTTGTTGTGTTGTTTTGTTTGTTTGTTTGGTTTTTGCACCAGAGATTGAATTTAGGATCTTGCCCTTGTGATGCAGTTGCGGAACCACTGAGCTAAATTCCCAGCCCCTAAAATGTTTAGCTATTACGAATTCTCCTACTATACACACGGGTATGCTTGTATCGCTGTAATATGATGACTTTAACTCTTTTGGAAAGATATGTAGAAGGAGAATTGCTGGGTCAAATGGAATTTTTAGTGTTAGTGTTAAGAAATCTGCACACTGATTTCCATAGTGCTTGTACTAGGTTACACTTCCACCAACAATGAAGAAGTATTTCCCCTCCCCACAGCTTCTCCAGCACTTGTTATCATTTGATTTCTTGATAATAGCCACTCTTTTTGGAGTAAGATGGAATCTTAGTGTGTTTTTAACTTGCATTTCTCTAATGGACAGTGACGTTGAACATTTCTTTATGTATTCGTTGACCGTTTGTACTTCTTCTGAGAAGTGTCTATTCATTTTGCTTGCCCATTTTTGATGGAACCTTTTATTTGGGGGAAGTCTAATTTTCTTGAGTTCTCCATATAATCCAGACATTAGTCCTCTGTCCGAGGAGCAGCTGATATTCCCCCCGTAATGTCTCTTTGCTCTGTTGGTTGTTTGCTTTGCCATGCATACCACACCATTCTCTGTCAGATTTTTGAGCACCTGTGCATTTTGGTACCCATGGGGTCTGGAAACCAATCTCCAAGGATGCCAAATACTTTTTATCTGTTGATCTGTGGGTGGCTGACCCAGCAGATGTGGAGGCCCAACTGAGCGTACAGTTAAAGACCCACACATACCCACTCGCCTCCCCTGTTTTCTTAGGTAGAGAGCCACATGGTTTTGCATATTAACATTTCTGAATCAGAACATATCTTACAGTTGAGGTAGCACAGAGCCCCCCGCCCCACCAGAAGCAGACGTTAAATTGGCCGTGTGTCTCACAACCAAGAACATATTCATGGCAGAACACTAGCACAACAGTCTTCCAGAGGAGGAAGCAATGGTGGGGAGGGGGCTGTGACAGAGTCTTCCAAGCTGGAGTTGGAGAGGCCGAGATTATCTGACCAGGAACAGTGGACTCGGCATGTGTTGCCAAGATGTTCCTGAGGGGCTGCTGTGGGCGGGAGGGACAGAGTGGTTCTGTGGAAACTTCTGGGTGCTGAGCCCCATGGCCACCTGTGACTATCCATCAAGGTGGGCACTTTTGCCTTCATGAGACTCTTCCTCTAGAAAAATACATTCTAATTGTATATAATTTTTCACCAACATGTAGTCATTGTGTGTGTTTATGAATTACAGTGCAATACTTCAATACATAGGATCAGAACAGGTCAGATAACTGGCGTATTCTTCACCCCCAGACAATTGTTATTCCTTTGTGTTGAGAGCATTCAAAATCTTCTCTCCTGGCTACTTTTTTTTTTTGAACCAAGGATTGAACTCAGGACCTTGCACTTGAGAGAGAGGCAATGGAACCACTGGGCTAAATCCCCAGCCCTCTGCTGGCTATTTTATTATTATTATTATTATTATTTTTTTTTTTTTGGTACCAGGTTTGAACTTGGGTCCTTGCTCTTGCAAGGCAGGCCACTGAACCACTGAGCTAAATCCCTGGCCCCTGGCTATTTTCAAATATACAATTCACTGTTGTCAACCATAATTTTGCTACTGTGCTATAGGATTTTCAAGGTCATTCCTTCTGTCCTGTTACACTCCCATACGGATTAAACATCTTCTCTCCCCCTCAAATTATATTTGAACTTGGGTCCTTGCTCTTGCAAGGCAGGCCACTGAACCACTGAGCTAAATCCCTGGCCCCTGGCTATTTTCAAATATACAATTCACTGTTGTCAACCATAATTTTGCTACTGTGCTATAGGATTTTCAAGGTCATTCCTTCTGTCCTGTTACACTCCCATACGGATTAAACATCTTCTCTCCCCCTCAAATTATATCTTATGGTTGCGTTGGCGTAAAGATAAAATATCATATGGACTAGATTTCAATATCTATTTCCTTCTGACTTTCGAAGACATTAAACATTGTTGTGGCCTCTTAAAGTCCTGGGCCCATGCTGATGGCTGAGTCCCGGGACCCGGATGGGAGATCCAGGGGGAAGGCAAATTGATAAGATGGAGAAACAGCTAACAAACAGTTGTCCATACACGGAGGAGGTGAGGAGAGAGAGTTCCAGGTACTGGGAGGTGCTGATCAGGGGCTGGGCATGATAAACAGGGTGAGATCAGGGGCATCAGTGGTGGGTTTGATGAATCTGTAAAAAGCCCCTTTGGAGCTGAAGAGTTAAAGACCTTGAAAGGTCCAAGCTCCCCTCCTCCCATGCTCTCCCAGCCCCTGATCTGCCCAGGGATCCAGGGAAAGTGTTGGGGCTCTTGAGGGGCCAACAGCAGATGCTGCTATGGCTAACTGGAGTAGAAACAGTGTCGGGAGAGGCCCCTGAGCTCTTGGGGTAACTGGATGGTGGAGAAGAGGCCAGGCCCAGGCACCTCGGAGAGTAATTAGCAGTCCCCAACCCAGGATGCACCCAGCTGCTGTGGCTGGATGTCCTGACTCCATCCACTGAGATTCTCAACAAAGCTCCTGTTCCAGGTGCAGGGAGGCTGGGTCCGAAGGCTTGGCCAAGGAGGGGAGATGCCTGGAGAGCAGTCCACCCCACTGTGTCCAGTGCACTCAGGGTAACTGCCCTACAGGAAACCAGGGTGCTGTTACCCAGAGGCCCCGGGATGAGTGCTCAGTTAACTACCACACTCACATCCATAGGCACAGGAATAGAACCCAGATGGTTGGAGAGGGCCCAGATGTCAGGCTGAGTCTGTGTGCAGAGAAGCCCAGCCCAGGCCTCACGGAGCAGCCCGATCAGGTAGCACTGATAGGTGCCACAGACCCTGAGAAGGCCCTGTCCCCTCCGCAGGTGCCGAGGCCTTCTGGCTGGTAGCTAAAGACACGGATAATGATGCACTGACCTATGGGATTAGTGGCGCCTATGCCTATTTCTTCTCTGTCAACAAGGACACTGGGGAAGTGAAGCTGGCGAGCCCCCTGGACTTCGAGGTAGAGGGCAACGGTGTGGAAGGGCCCCAGGGGGGAGATGGGGATGCCTGGAAGCCAGTGTCCTGCAGGCCCATGGCCTATTCTCCCACCCTGACAGGGGCTTGCCTTGGGCCCCCTTCTCTCTGCCCTCACAGACCCTGAAATTCTTCAGCATCGACATCTCTGTGAGCGACGGTCATAACAACCCTGTGAGTCAAAGTGGGGGAGCAAGGGGTGACCCCAATGGGAAGAGCAGGGTCGCAGGTGTCTACTCCTCACCATGTTGCTTACCTCGAGGGAGTGGAGAGTACTCCAGTTCACAGTGAACTTAACATTTACTCTTATCAAAATTAAACACGTCCATTTTTGTTATAGTGTATAACCAAGAGTTTGGTGTTTATTATTACTTTATTTCAATTATATAAAATTTATAAGTATAAAATTAATTGTAGTATTGATTTCTGTTAATATAAATCAGGCCTGAAATCCCAACTTCTCAGTAAGCTGAGGCAGGAGGATTCTTTTTTGTTTGTTTGTTTGTTTGGTTTTTTGAGACAGGGTCTCACTATAGTTGAGACTTGAGTGGAGAGTACTCCAGTTCACAGTGAACTTAACATTTACTCTTATCAAAATTAAACACGTCCATTTTTGTTATAGTGTATAACCAAGAGTTTGGTGTTTATTATTACTTTATTTCAATTATATAAAATTTATAAGTATAAAATTAATTGTAGTATTGATTTCTGTTAATATAAATCAGGCCTGAAATCCCAACTTCTCAGTAAGCTGAGGCAGGAGGATTCTTTTTTGTTTGTTTGTTTGTTTGGTTTTTTGAGACAGGGTCTCACTATGTAGTTGAGACTGACCTGGAACTCACTATGTAGCCCAGGCTGATCTTGAACTCACAGCGATCCTCCTGCCTCAGCCTCCCGAGTGCTGGGATTATAGATGTGCGCCACTATGCCCAGCTGAGGCAGGAGGATTCTAAATTTGAAGCCAGCCCGAGCAATTTAGTGCTGCCTTGTCTCAAAAATAAAAAGGGTTAGGGATATAGCTCAGTGCAAGACCCTGGATTCAACCCCCAGTGCCTCAGAAGAAAAAAAAAATTGGCAAATGCCCCCCTCCCCATGTACTTCTGAGGTGTTCACCTTCAATGCTTTTGCCTAAGTACGTTAGCATCCCTGCTCATATTTCCGTATAACATGATATGCTGCTGAGTCTTGTGTCTGTGGAGGTTGAGTTCTGCCTCCAACATTTGTCCTGAGCCCCATTTTATTAGTTGGGTTTCCATTACTGTCTGCAGGTGCGGAAGCCAATGAGTGTGGTGGTTGAAGACAGAAATGACAATGCACCTGTTTTCGAGAACACTGTATTCTCTACCAGCATCGATGAGGTAACGCCCGCCCTCGTGGGACCTGGCAGGGGAAGGGATCTCCCTGAGTGTGACTCAGAATGGGGGGCCGGATGCATCCAGTGATGAGCAAAAGCCTCTTCTAGAAAGGGCCAAATCCAGGAAGATGCAGCCCACGAACAATAGCTCAAGCAACATAGTTTGCAAGTAACCATATTGGATTGAAACTCTTCTGATTAAGAAAGCAAATAAAATTTTAACCCCCCCCCAAAAAAAAAAGAAAAGAAGGAAAGAAAGAAAAGGAATTGATTTCCTCATAAAAATTTATAGGTACCTCTGACTTCAGGCATGGTTGAATTTAGGTACTCAAACTGCATCACCAAGAAATATCTCTCTCCACCTCTCAGCTCTGCTTCTCTTGCTATCTCCAACCTGGGGGTGGGGATGAGGGTGGGAAGCACTTCTAAGTTTTATCTATCTATCTATCTATCTATCTATTTATTTATTTTGAGACAGGGTCTCACTGTGTAGTTGAGACTGACCTGGAACTCACTATATAGCCTAGACTCATCTCAAACTCACAGTGATCCTCCTGCCTCAGCCTCCTGAGTGCTGGAATTACAGGCATGCGCCACCACGCCCAGCTGGCTCTAAAATTTAAATGGTCATAACAATGTCCCCTGGTAGCTCTAGGCTAACATCCTACCAGTTTTACACCCTCCACAGAAAGACTGTCTCTTTCTCAACGGCTCCAGCCCAGACCCCAGGGCTGACTGTCACTGGCTCACTTTGCGTCACGTATGTGTCCATTCTTGGACCAATGTAGAGGTCTGGAAAGCTCTGGTTGACTAAGTCTGCATCTCAGAAGAGGGCAGCCCCACATGGATGGTAGGCGTGGGGAGGAGGTTTCCCAGTACTCACCAGGCAGCGCACACGGTATCATTCCTGAATCTTCACTCCCACAGGGCTGCAGAGAGCTGGGGGAGGGGCCCACTAGGCCAGAGGCAGGCTGTCAAGTGACAGGCTCTGCCCGGGTGCCCCTGTGCCTGGTACTGTCCTAGGTGCTTGAGTTGCCCTCCGAACACAACTTCTCTGGTGGCACCCTCAGGGGCTCACATTCTAGGGAACAGCATACAGTAATCAATGAAACACAGAACAAGTGGGATTGTTTTAGATGGTGCTGAGTTCTGTGAAGACCATAAAACAAGGCAAAGGTGAGCATGAGGGGCTGCTTTTTGTTGCGAGAGAGGCTTCTCTGAGCAGAGGTCTGAATGGAAGATGCAGCCCACAGGGAGCGCTCCAAGGAAAGGATGTTCCAGGCGGGGAACAGAGATGGGAAGGGCCTGAGGTGGGGATGAGGCTGGCCGGGTAGCTGGAGTGGACAGGGTGAGGAGAGGACGGCAGCCTGAGCCGTAGAAGCAGACTGGACCGTATTCTAGGCAGTCCGGGCAACTCCGGGAAGCTTTGAAGCACATGAATGGCGTGGTCTGATTTATGATCTTGAAAGTTAGCTTTTTGGCCATCATGTGGAAGTGGCGAAGATGCAGGTGAGAGTACAGAAGCAAATACTTCCTGTTAGACCTCCCTGCCCTGGGTGGAGGCACTGTTTGAAGTCCGGGCCTATAAGCTCTAGTGAGCCCACTGCATTGATTGAATAGAATTGGCACAGTCAGACTGGGTTCTGGAATGTTCCTTCACCCTGGACCTGAGAGGCTCCACAATCAGAAGCTAGCTCAGTCCAGGCACAGTGACACAGGACAGTAACACCAACTACTCTGGAGATGGAGGCAGGAGGGCCACAAGTTCAAGGCCAGCCTGGGCAGTTTAGCAAGACCCTGTTTCAAAATAAAGTGAAAAGGGCTGGAGGTGTATATAGCTCAGTGGTAGAGCGCTCACCTAGTAGTGCCAGTCCCGGGTGTGATCCTCAACTGCAAGAGGAGGAGAGGCCACCACCAGATCAGTAGTGGTGAGGCTGTGTAGGGAGAGAAGGAGAGTGTGCTCTTGTGTCCTTCCCCATGTCACCTCTGGCTCCCTCCTTATCTGCATGGGACATTTGAGGAAACTGAAGCTCAGGAGTGGGGGAGAGGGATTTTAGTCCACAGGTGACAAGTCTCTCCTTTCAGACGCTGCCAGTTGGCTCCCTGGTGTTCTCCGTGCTGGCCAAGGACCCAGACACAGGCTCAGGGGGCGTGGTGCAGTACTTCATAGAGAAGGTGAGCTTGAAAGTGGGAGAATGGGTGTGTGTCTCCTGACTGCTCCTCATGGCCACCAGGGGGCAGCATCTCCAAGGCCACCCATGCAGTCCTTGAGAGTCAGGCCAGCCTGGTCCCCAAGCTTCTCTCTGGCCCTCCCACCCCACTTCCACAGAACCTCACTTTGCTCTGTTTCGGGAAGAGGGTGCTGCTTTCGGCCAGATCCTTCCTGCCCGCTCCTGCACAGGGCACCATCTAGGCCTCTGATGAAAGCTAATGTCTCAACTCCCAGTAGCTAACGCACTTCCAGTTTCACAGGTGAGGAAATTGAGGCTCAGAGCAGTCCTAGGTCTTGTCCAAAGGTATACAGACAATAAGGCATGTGAGAGTCCATTTATCAGAAAACAAATTTGTTAGTGATCGCTCCATTTCCTATACTTAGCTTATCTATTATCTCATGGGATCTTTCTTTCAACTGTGGAGACAGCTTCACCAGCCTCACCACCCAGAGGTGGGAGCTGAGGCTTGCAGAAATGAAGGTTGCATAACTGGTCAGTGAAAGAGTCAGGAGTTGAACCCATGTCTCCCAGAGAAGGTTTCTAGGGGGCGGCACTGTCCCTAAGGAGGCTGACCTGAATATGTCCTCCCCTAAGGTCATCCCTGATACCCCGGACAGCAAGGATCTCTTCAGGATTCTGGAAGATGGCTCCATTATACTCAATGACAACCTCAGCTACAATAACAAGAGCGTCTCCTATCAGCTGCAGCTGAAGGCCTGTGTGAGTAAGGCTGTCAGCATGCCCGGCACATGGACTCGTGGCTCTAGCTCATAAAAGGCCCTTCTCCCTGCAGGACTTGGGCGGCCAGTTTAATAACAACTTCACTGTACAGTGCTCCCAGCCTGTCTTTCTGTCCATCTCAGTCAACGACCAACCAGACCTGGACCCCCAGTTTGTCAGGCAGTTTTACTCAGCCTCCGTTTCTGAGGATGCAACTGTGGTATGTGCTGGGACCTGCAGGGCTCGGGGTGGGGATGAGAGGCAGAGGACAGGGTTGAGGTACTGACTGGGCCTCCTTCCAGAACACCTCGGTGCTGATGGTGCAGGCTGTGGACGGAGACAAGGGCATCAATGACCCGGTGACCTACAGCATCTCCAGTGAGAGCCCAGGTGTCCCCAGGCTGGGGCTGGAGCGAGGGGCACGGCGAGGGCTCTGTCAGAGCCGCCGGAAGCAGCTGCCTCACCTGCCTCCTTGTAGATTCCACGAGGCCTGGATGGTTTGCTATTGGGGAAGATGGGCTCATCAGCGTCAGCGCCCCCCTGGACCGAGAGCTACTGCTGGAGGACAATGAGGAAGTGCAGTTGCAGGTCACGGTGAGTGAGGGCTCCCCACGCCGTCACCTCGGACCTTTGGTCTTATTCTTTCTGAGCACTGGTTCTCTGTGCTCTGGTCTCTGCTCGTCACTTTAGGCCACTGAGAAGAACCTCAACATCTATGGACAAGAAGCCAAGGCAACCACTTGGGTCACAATAACAGTGCTGGACGTGAATGACCACAAACCCGAGTTTTACAGCTGTGTCCTCCCAGACTGCTTCTTCACCCCCCAAGAGGCCCAAGACAACTTCAGTGCCTACGTGGATGAGCACGCCTCCACCCGCATCCCCATCGACAATCTCACCATGGTGGCCTATGACCCAGACAAGGCAGGCACAGGGCAAGGGGGCAGGGCCGGAGATGACGGTGGGCGGTAGCTGGCAGGGAGGTGAGTGGTAGAACAGATGGTGGTGCAGATCGGTGAGCCGTGGGAATGGTTGGTTGGTATTTGGAAACGCTGCCTGATGTTGAGTAATGTGTTCAGGTGATATTAGGCAGTGTTGTTAGGAGGCAGAGTCGAGAGGGGCTTGGCACCTGATGTCCGGTCACGTCGAGTGGAGTATGGTTTCTGGTGGTGCTGGTATTGGGTGGTCTGCGATTTAAGGTAACACTGGGCACGGGGAGAGGCTGAGCAGTGTGGTGTGTTATGTCCGGGATGATCTGAGTGTTAGGTTGGAGGGAACGCTGAAATAAAAATTGGTACTGGATGGTAGGAAACTTGGGTGAACCTGAACGATAAATAACCATGGGTGATGTTTGGTCGTATTAGGTGATACGGACTTGACGCATCTAGGATGGTATTGGGTGGGATTATGTGGGTGGATGTGTCGAGCTGGTGGTCGGTGTGGATCGAAGCTGGCACTGATTGTTGGGTGGGGTGGTGTTTGGTGTAGGGGTAGTTGGGGAGCAGCGAGTGGTGCCTACCAAGCCAGGCTGATAGGAACACCTGTGGGAGTGAGCTGAGTGTGACCATGCTCTGTCTCTATAGTCTTGGCCTGGGACCTGCAGCACCATGGGAAACCTGCCTCTGCTGAGCCCACATGTGCAGTGACTAGTGACCAGCCCAGCCTGCTGGGCCCTGTTGTCTTAGTCTATTAGGAGCCCTCTTTTTTGCACCCAGAGACTGGGGAAAAGATGCGCATGGGCAAGTCGCAGGGGAATGGGACTCCTACTTTACAGCCTGCTTTTCCAGGGCAGCAATGGCACCTTCCTGCTGTCCCTGATGGGTCCTGATGCTGGAGCCTTCAGCGTCTCCCCTGTGCGGGCAGCTGGCTCAGCCGAAGTGCAGGTGCTGGTGAGAGCTTCAGAGATGGTGGACTACGAGAGCCAGACAGTGATGCTGGTGCAGGTGAGCGAAGCTCCAGAGCCCTGAGAAAAGGAGCCCATGGTGCAGCCAGGCCCCAGGACTGCTGCCTCTTCTGTCCCCAGGTTGTGGCCGCTGACTCGGTCAGCCAGCTCTCCTCTGTTGCCACGGTGACCATCCATCTTAGAGACAGTAATGACCATAGGCCCACATTCCCCCAGAGATTATATGTCCTCAGTGTGCTGGAAGACAGTGCCACAGGCTCTGTGGTCACCAGCAGCATACATGTGAGTGACACGGGCCAGGCTGGGCGGCTGATGAAGAGAAGGGCGGATCTGGGAACTGTGGGCGCCTCAGTCTTTGTATCATTCAGTGTCGTTGGGGCCAAGCATGCATACATGCGTGTCAGTATGTGTGAGTGTGAGTGTGTGTGTGTGTATGCGTGTGTGTGTGTGTGTGTGTGTGTGTTGGATGTGTGGGGCATCTATATGTGAATCCGGGTGTGGAGTGTCCTCCCTTTATGCCAGGAAGCAGGACAGCCCTGTGTACATGAATTACATAGTAGGCAGCAGGTGCCGTGGTGTCTAAACAGCATCCTATCGTCATCTCTCTGCCTCTCAGGCTGAAGACCCAGACACGGGAGAATGGGGCCACATCACCTACAGGCTGCTCCCAGGAAACGGGTAAGGTCACGCCCACATCTCTGCCTCACAAAAGGGCCAGGGTAGCCCAAAAATATGCATTGTTACATTTAAATGTCAGAAAAACAACACAACATTTAAAAATAATGTATTTGCTTTCTGTTCCTATAATAACACTTGATGCTGTCTACTTTATAAAGAGAAGTTTGGGCCAGGGATGTAGCTCAGTGGCAAAGCACCTGCCTGGCAAGCACTAGGCTGTGAGTTTGATTCTCGGAACAAAACAAAACAAAAAAAGAGACAGAGAGAGAGGTTGAAGTTTCACTAGATCACAGGTCTGGAAGTTTAAGGGTAGGGTGCCAGCATCCGCTCAGCTCCAGTGAAGACTGCAGGGTGGACAGCATCACAAGATCACAAGGTCTTGTGACTACATGGGAGCCCTGAGTGAAGTGGGGGCTGTAACAAGCCCCCACGGGCCCCACATCTTAAAGGGCCCACATCTTAAAGGGCCCACCTCCTCTTACCATTGCCACACTCTGGACCACGCTTCCAATATGTGTGTGTGGGGCACATTCAAAACTTGGCCAAATGACAACGAAAGTGTGTTGGAAATATTGCACGGGATATACTTAAATATTTGTCACTGTCTATCTGAAATTCAAATTTGAGTGCATTTGTATCTGCTCAATCTGGCTCCCCCGAGCAGGGTAGACCTCTTTGAGGTGGATCCAGACTCAGGTACGCTGACAGTGAAGAATGGCACCCTGTTGGACCGGGAGAGGCAGGCTGTATACTACCTCACGCTGCAGGCCACAGATGGGGGCGGCCTGTCGGACACCACCATGCTGCAGATCCACCTGCTAGACGTTAATGACAATGCCCCTGTAGTCACTGGCTCCTACAGCATCTTTGTCCAGGAAGAGGAGGGCACTGTCTCTGTGACCATCCAGGTGCGAACCTGCCTAGACCTGGGGTGTGTGTGTGTGTGTGTGTGTGTGTGTGTGTGTGTGTGTGTGCATGCGCGCACGTACTGAGTCTGGCTCTGGAGTCATGCTGGCCCTGGATGGAGTCAGGGCTTCTGTGTGGCCCTGAAGAAGTCACTCAGTCTCTCTTAGCCTCTGTCTTCTCTTCAGAAAATGAAGATGGTCATAGTAATTATTCACAGGCCCCAGGGAATAGTGAGAAAATAAAGTACTTCATAACAGGCTTGGCATGGAGCAAGCCTTTAAAAACATATTGCTAAGCCGGGCCTGGTGGTGCATACCTGTCATCTCAGCATTGACAAAGCCCTCAGAATAAACAATGAAAAGGGCTGGGAATGTCACTCAGTATCAGAGCACCCCTGGACTCAATCCCCAGTACCACAAAAACAGACTGTTCTTTGTGTGTGTGTTTGGTACTGGGGCTGAACCTGGGGCCTTACACAATATAGGCAAGCACTCCACCACTGAGGTACCTCCACAGCCCTTTGTATTTTTTTATTTTCAGACAGGGTCTTACTAAGTTTCTAAGTTGCTCAGGCTGGCCTTGAACTTGTGATCCTCCTACCTCACCCTCCTGAGCAGCTGGGATTGCAGGCATGTGCCACTGTCAGCTTTTTTTTCTAATTTGAATATCTGTGATACACTTTCCCATGTCTCCTTCCCAGTAGCATTATCAGCTCTGTAAAGAAGTTCTCTTGATTACAGCTTTCTTCCCAGGGTTTAGATCAGGACCAGGCACCTAGTAGGTGTACAGTAAACAGTTGTGAGATGAATGGATGACTCTGTGCTGATGACCTTAAAAGCTCCCTCATGCTGCGATTGGAGCCCTGTAGATAGGAGGCTGAGATCCCAGGGAGGCCAGGAGAATGGCAGTTGTGGCCCTCATGGACCAGTGCTGGAGGAGGAGCTGGAGCGGAGGGCTGATGCCAATGCCTGCTTCTCTGGCCAGGCCTATGACAACGATGAGCCAGACACCAACAACAGCCGCCTGCTCTTTAGCCTGCTGCCTGGGCCCTACAGCCAGAACTTCTCAGTGGACCCTGACAGTGGGCTCCTCAGGAACGTGGGGCCCCTGGACCGAGAGGCCATTGACCCAGCCCTGGGGGGCCGCATCGTGCTGACTGTGAGCGTGGCTGACTGTGGGGTGCCTTCCCTCAGCACCGAGGTCAATGTCACCGTCACCGTGGAGGTAAGGCCAGCCAGATGTGCTATGCCGGGCCGGGGTTCTCAAGCACTGCCGCCTCCAGGAGGCCGTGTTTCGCCATCCTCTGCAGTGCTATGGCCGGCTGGGGAGTACACTGACCCCGCAGATGGGCTCCTGAGCTGTGTGGCCGAGGCACTCACTCAGCTCCCTGGCCCTTCAGTTCCTCATGTGTAGAGTGGGGTGGAGACAGCAGGGAGCCTGCTTTACTCACTGAACAACGTTCTACAGGGCCCCACAGAAGGGACTCAGAGTATTAGCTCGAGTGTCCCTCAGAGTCCTGCCTGAAACCTCCTGCCTCTCTGCCACCATTCACAGGCAAAGAGAAGGAGTGAAAGTTGGCATTGATAGGCTCCCCCTTGCACCAGGGCCTGCAAGGGAGGGATGGCTATTATCATTTCATAGATCAAGAAATTTAGTCATGGAGAGATTCAGTAGCTTTCAGTAGGTTTGTGCAGTGCACAGTCTGCACCACTGCACATAGCAGCCTTGGGTGCCACTGGGTTGGGATTTACCACTCTCTCTCTTATAAAGATTAGAAAGCGCAGCCTCAAGGATAGTGGGAAAGAAGCTAGTTTAGAGTTTGTTGGCCATCCTGGAAATAGGGGAGACTATAACGAAGGAAAAATAAAGAATTGCATTTATAAGTGAAGGGGTCTCTTTACTTCTGTGAGCCAGGGCTGGGGATTCAGCTCAGTGGTACTGCACCTGCCTCTCAAGTACAAGGTCCCGAGTTCGATCCCAGGCGCCAAAAAACACCTCCTCAAAACAAAATTTCCATGAACCAGTCTTCATTTTTGTCCTGCAGGTGGGGACTGCTTCTCCATTTTCTGAATGCAGACACTGAGGTCCAGAGATCAAATTCACACAAGAGGCAGTGGTAGAGTGGGATCTCAGTCAGAGCTGCTCCCCTAGCCCACTCCCCTGAGTTAGGATGCTGCAAGAATGTGTCTCACTGTGCATGTGCATGGAGCTGGCAGTGCCCGGTCTGAAAAACCACTACCAGAGAACGTACCTCGGCCAGGCGCAGTGGTGCACACCTCTAGTCCCAGCACTCTGGGAGGCTGAGGCAGGAGAATTGCAAACTCAAGCTCAGCCTGGGCAATTTAGCAATTTAGCAAGGCACTACATCAAAATAAAAAATAAAAAAGGGACTGGGGATGTAACTCAGTGTGAAGGCCCAGGGTTCAATTGCCAGTATTTCAAAAAACAAACAAAAACCTAAAACCCAGAAACCCACATATCTCAGCTGGGCATTCTCATACATCTTTAGACTCAGCTACTTGGAGGGCAGAGGTTCAGCAGTAGTTTGAGAACAGCCTGGGCCACAGAGTGAGGTGAAAGAAAGTGGGGGGAAGAGGGGATACATCTCATTGAGGGGAAGGAGCTTAATTTCCTAAGTGTCCATTTCTACATTTCTGCAGTTACATAGAAAAAGATGATCCTCCAGTGGGCTGGAGCTCTCCGAGTGCCCTCCATGCATTGCCAGTGTTAGGGGAGGACATGGTGGTGGCGTCAGCTCCATGCTGTGATAACAGTAGCAAGGGCTCGGCCAGGATTGGAGAGGGAGGCGAGAGCAGCAAGTAGCTGGCATCAGAGGGCGGGACCAGTCTCAGTCCTGGCTCTGGCTGAGCACAGAGCCAGTGCCATGAGGTCAGACGAGTGCAGGAGACACCGGAGGAGGGAGACAAAGAAGGAAAGCAGGGGGCTGCAGAGCCATAGAACTGGTGCCAGCACAGTCAATCCAAGAGATGAGGAGTCAGGCTGACCCAAACAGGGACACAGACAGGGACCTGGAACCATCTCTCTGAAAAGCAAGACTTAAGACAGTTCTAAACTGTGGGCAAAGAAACCAAAGGGAGGTGGAGCTTCCTGACTGTATCTCACAACGCAGGAGTCCTCCACATGCCTCTGAGCCCCATATAGGAGACTAGGGTGGGCTCTTTCCTCTCAGAGGCTGTTTCCACCTCTTGGAAGTAGGCAGTGCTGTCTGAGGAGACCCGGCTTCTACACTTGATCTTAGCCAAAAGGCCGAGAAGCGATTAGAGACCCGGCTTCTGTCTGTGGTAGAGGAATCACTAGCTTCTCAGATCAGCTTCGGCCCGTGTGAACCTTTGAGGCTATTCAGGTCCCTGGGACTCATATCTGCCCCTACCTGCAGGACATCAATGATAACCTGCCTGTCTTCAACCAGTCCAGCTACAAGTTCCGCGTGGAGGAGAGGGTTCCAGGTAAGCCTTTTCTGGGCACTCAAGCCTAGAACTGGGCACTAGGGTGACAACTGTCAAGATTAAATGAGAGAAGGCGTGCAGTGTTTTGTGAAGTGCTGGGTATATACTAAGTACCCAATTAATGCTGTTATTTTATCAGGAAATGTAAGGGAAAGAGCATACTTTGGAGCCTCTGTGTGTGTGTGTGTGTGTGTGTGTGTGTGTGTGTGTGTGTGTGTTTTATAGTACTGAGGATTGAATCCAGGGCTTCCACACTGAGCTACATCCCCAGGTCCGTTTTTAATTTTTTTTTTTTTTTGAGGCAGAGTCTTGTTAAGTTGTTAAGTTTCCCAGATTGAGCTTCAATTTGCATTTATCCTGCTTCAGCCTCCCAGAGTGCTGGAATTAGAGTATGTACTACAAAGCCCTGCCCCAGCTGTGTTTTGTTTTTGGTACCAGGGATCAACTCAGAACCTTGTGCTTGAGAGTCAGGTGGTAGCACCACTGAACTAAATCCCCAGCCCTCCAGATGTGTATTTTTATCTCACCTCTGACAGAAAATAGCAATAAGAACTATACTAACAACTACACTTGGCAGGCAGGCATGGATGCCCTAGACTTTAGGGCAGAGGAGGCTTCCAATGCCTGGCCAGGGTCTCTCTCAGCTCTGTCCCTCATCCACAGGAGTGCTGGTGGGTGTAGTGGAGGCCTGGGATGCAGACCAGACAGAAGCCAACAACCGCATCAGCTTCAGCCTGTCAGGGAGTGGTGCCAACAACTTCATGCTCCGGGGTGTGGTGCTGGGGTCTGGGAAGGCTGAGGGCCAGCTCTGGCTGCCCCCGGATGTAAGTCTGGACTATGAGACCCAGGACATCTTCAAGCTGATAGTGAGTGCAGAGAACCCAGGCCCCCAGGGCCATGAGGCCACAGCAGAAGTCAACGTGACTGTGGTGGATGTGAATGATGAGCCACCCACCCTGGTGGAAGCCTCGCTTCGGGGCGTCTCTGTGGCTGAGAATGGCTCACAGCATGGTCAGGTGGCTGAGGTGATGGCCCAGGATGTGGACACTGAGGCCCAGCTGGAGATACTGCTAATGAATGTCATCTGTACCAAGGCTGGGGTTGATGTGGGCAGCGTGTGCCAGGGCTGGTTCTCAGTGGCAGCCAATGGCTCTGTGTACATCAGTCAGAGCGAGGCCATCGACTACGAGGCCTGTGACCTGGTAACGATGGTAGTGCGGGCCTACGACCTCAACACGGATCCCCGTTTCCATGCCTACAGTGCAAATGGTGAGTGGCCTCTCTGGCAGAGCTGCAGCACAGGGACCACGGGGTGGATGGAGTCCTGGGCTGGGACCCACAGATCTGGCTTTGATTCCTGGCTTCAGCCCTTCCCAGCTGTGTCACTGGCAGAGTCCTCTCCTTCTGTGTATACAAAGCATTTAGTCCAGTGCCTGGCATACAGTAAGCACCTAAATAATGTTATTTTATGAAGCAGCATAAAGGAAAGAACATACTTCTAGGCCAAATGTATATTTCTAACTCAATAATGACACCAAATAGCAATAATAACCATGTTAATAACTAGCACATACTGAGTTTTCATGTGAGCCGAGAACTATGCCAGGCACATTGTTTCCTCCACCCTCTGTTCTGGAGCAGATCAACCCCAGGTCCTCGCTCATGCTAGGCAAGTGCTCTACCACTGACATGCACGTGCGTGTGTGCTCACACACACAAATGTCACGGTCAGTGGGATGACATACCTAGGCTGGCTGGCCCATTCTGGCTCAACACTCTTGCTGTGTGACTTTAGCAAACTGTTTAACCCTCCCTGAGGCCTAGGGACTATGCTCCCAATCACTCAGATCACAGAAGAACTTGTGGGCGTCCTGGGTCAGGAGCAGGGGAAGGGACTGGATGCCTGGGTGGGAGGCTGTGGGGAGTGTGGTTAAGGCCCAGGCTCTTTGGGTCAGGCCTTGTCCAGGAACCCTGAGCCAGCCCACCCTCTCTCCCTAGGAAGTCTCCTCATCACCATCGAGGATGTGAATGACAACGCCCCTTATTTTCTGCAGGATAATAAGACTTTCGGTAAGTGGCAGCTCAGCCTTCACCCCACCACACACACCTCCCTGTGCCACATAGGCCACCCTTGGGCACCCCCACAGACCCACGAAAGGGGTGAAAGGCTCTAATTCTCCTCCCGCAAGGGTTGCGACTGGAGAGAACCCCTGAGTTTTTCATTCCTGCTCTCCTCATCAGGTGACTGGGCCGGAGCCAGGCCCTCCTTCTTTGGGCCTCAGTTTCTCCATCTGTACAGTGGGAGGTAGCTGGCGTGCTAACGACTGGCTCAGGTGGAGCTGTAGTAGGAATCTCTTTTGGCAGAGGCATTGAGAGCAGGTTTCTGGGAGGAGCCTGAGCTGGGCTTGTGGGCAGAGTAGGCCAGGCAGGCACTGCCCAACTGCACTGAACATTTCCTGCTCAAACTTGTAGTGATCATCCCGGAACTTGTGCTACCCAACCAGCAGGTGGCTTCCGTTCAGGTGAGTCCTTGGCTCCAGCCTTTGTTGGCCACATTAGCCTCAGGGGACATAGGGCTAAGGCCATCAGCTTTTAAGCTGCCTGGCCAGGGTTTGAACACTAGAAAGGATGCACTCTAACAAAGGAAAACACAAACCCCAAGACAGAAACAAACACCTGCCTAATTGGTCTGATCAAATTCCACTAATTGTTCAATTTAGTAGTCATAAAAATTTCATGACCATAAATAGCACTTTGCAGGCTAGATTTTTCTGACTACACCAGAATTCTTGAGTACGATAGAGAAATCATAGCCTATTTTAAATTAAATGAGTTCTTTCTAGTTAAATAATTTCCACAGCAAAATTATAAAAAATGCTTCCACTTTGTTATGGTGTTGCATATAGTGTGTTCAGTTGAGGGAGGCATCTTTGCAGGGTGGGGTGGTGGGGTTGAGGCCTCTCCCAGGGCCCTGCCCCAGGGCCTGGCTGGGCCTCTGCTTGACTTAGAGATCTGTCATGCCCCTCTGGAACTCAATTTCTCTCTTTGAGAGGGAGCTGATAGTTTCTGGAAGGCAGAATCTGGGTGTCACCTGCAATTCTGTGGGAAGAACACGGGTGAGACAGACAGGTGTAGACAGGAGATGGGCCGCTTGAGTGTCCTTGAGACAGGGCTTCTTGTGGGCCCCAGTTTCCTCTCATAAAATGGGGAGAGAAATTATACCCCTTTGGGTCCATTCAAGCCTTGAAACAGTCAGTTGCCTAGTCTGGAGCCAGTTGCACTCCAGTGTAATGATTGTAGCTGTGGCTTCGAATAATTTTCTTTCATTGGAAGCATGAACAGCAGCTGTTCCTCTTGAAAAGTAATATCAGTGGACTCGGGGCTCTTTGTTGGGTGCTGTATCTTTCCCCGAAAGGCACCAGAATAAATAGGAATGTTTTGCTCCTCCTTCATTCAGCTCATGTCTACTGCGGGATTGCGTGCTCACATTAGTAAGCCCTGAAATAAGAGATCTGAAAGGAGGAAGCACACAGTAGGTGCGCAGGAAATCGGAGTGTTTCTGTGCTTGTGAATGCATGTGCATTCGCACGCATGTGGCACTTGGGGAGGGGTGAGGCAGGATTTCTGCTGGGAAGGACCTTGGGCAATGATCCATTTAGCTGAGGCAGGGCAGTCTCTTCCAGACCCAGATGTACAGAGCAAACTCACTCTTAAAAATGCATGTGGTGACATACCTCGCCCTGGAGCAGGCCGAGGAAGAGGCGTGCAGCAGCCTCCAGGGTGCCATGGCCCCTCATCCCTGCTGGGGATGGGAGGTCCTTGGTCTGGTCTGACCCTCATGTGTCATCCACACTTGTTCCCAGGCCAGAGATGAGGACTCGGGGAACAATGGGGCCATCCGGTTCTCCATCCTCCAAGCAAATTTCCTCGCTAAGGACGGCACTATGACCCCTTCCCAGAACTTCTTCCGGGTCTTCACATCCTTGGAAGCCAATGTGTTTATTGGCAACATCGAGTAACTGCGGGCAGGCCCTGGATGGGCAGCGGGCAGGGTTGGGGCCAAAAGAGGGTGCAAGGCAATGAGGCAGGAAGAGTGAAAGTGGGTTCCAAAGGACTCCATCTTGTGTTCCAAGATTGAGTATGTCCCACCTTCCACAGGTTGGTGACCAATCTTGATCCCACACTCCAAGGCACCTACCAGGTGACAGTCAAGGCCCAGGACACACCTTCAGTGGGTCCTGTGCAGGAAGCCACAATCACCCTGAATGTGAGTACCAGGCCCCTCCAGCTCCCAGTGCCTCTGCCAGTCCCTGGCCCCCTAGCGTCTCATCTCTCCACCTTCTCCTCCCCTAGCTCTTCACTGTGGACCAGAGTTACCGTGTGAGGCTGCAATTCTCCACATACAAGGAGGAGGTGGGCACCAACGTGGACAAGATTAAGGCGTAGGTCTGGGGAGGGAAGAAGGGGTTGGGGGAAGAACAAGAGTCTGGGCCCTGACAAGAACAGGGTGGAATATGTCTAACTCCTGACCCATACTTGACTTTGTGCTTCTTTTTGACCCTGTACCTGCATCCCATGCCCAGCCAGAGGTAGAAAGAGCCCTAAACATAGCTGTCTTGTAGTTTCAAAGGCTGTGTACGGCACAAGCATACCGCTTGCTGAGCCATAAACCCAGCCCCAAAGGAAGGGATTTCCCTTTCTAATTTGCACAAAGGTGCTGCCTGCTTAGCCAGCAGAGCTACTGTGTTCCTTTCTTGTTCACACAACTCTTAATTCCACTGGCAGAGCCCAGGCCTCAGGCCTGGGTGAAGGCTGTATCATAGGTGCCTGTGACACCTACCCCTTTGTAGGGCCCTTGCCCAGGCGACCAAGACTTCTGTCTACATTGTGAACATTCAGGACATAGACTCCTTGGCCAGGTAAGTGTCCCCTGTGTTTGGGGAGGAGAGAGACGGGCAGTGAGGCTTCCTGAGCTCTGGGCTGCTGACTCCTCCCTTCCTGTTCCAGGGCCCAAGCCCACTCCTACCTCGATGCCTACTTTGTCTTTTCCAATGGGACGGCCCTGACACTTAGCCAGCTGAGTATGTGAGTGGGGCTGTCCTTGGTGTTGGGCAGAGGGCGGGCCAGAAGCTGGGGTGCCAGCGACCCTGGACCCTCGGGTCTGAGCTGGGTTCTGTGGCCAGGATGATCCAGAGTGACCAGGGAGTGCTCACACAGCTGCTGCAGCTGGGACTGGTGGTGCTGGTGAGTGGAAGGAGTGGTTGTGGGAAGGGGAGGGGTGTGGACCCCTCGGCCGCCCTCACACTCCTTCCTCCCCAGGGCTCCCAGGAAAGCCAGGAGTCAGACCAGCCAAAGGTGCTCACTGGAGTCATCATAGGATTGGCAGTGGCTTTGCTGCTGGTCCTTGTGATCGTGATCGCGGCCTTTGTGTGTGTACGGAAGAGGTGCTGCTCCCATCGGCCCCTGGGCTCCATCATAGCATCAACCCTCCCCCTTCCACATGCATGGGTGGGGTAGGAAAAGTTTGGGTCTAGGCACTAGGTATATGTGTGTCCCATGACCACTGACCTGTTGTGAGATCTTGGGTGAGTCCATTCCCCTCCCTGAGCCAATGTTTCCTCATCCACAGAAGAGACACAATGCTAGACTCCTCCATGTAGTCATGGTCATCATGTGCATCCCACACCAGCACCATGGCTGGCATGTGCTATGCACAGTCCAGATGCTGCCGCATTCCCTTACTGGGATGCTCAGAGTCAGAAGTCGCATTTGGATTTGAGTCCAGGCTTTGCCCCTGACTGCCTGCATGGCCTTTGGCAAATTGCTTCCCTTCCCCTGCTGTTTTTTCTGTAAAGTGGAGCCTCCACTCTCACCTGCCAGGATGGTTGTGAAGCCACACTGTCAAGGCTTCCAAGTGAAAGTGTGACTCCTTTTCTCATTCCCTGCAGCTACCACCGGAAGCTTCGGGCTATGAAGGCAAGCAAGGAGGCTCAGACGACTGCAGCTGGGGTGATGCCTTCAGCCCCTGCCATCCCTGGGACTAACATGTACAACACTGAGCGGTGAGCAAGGGTCAGAGGTAGCCAGGAGGCCAGGGGAGGGGCCTGAGGGCCACAGCTGCTTGACCACATCTCCTTTCCAGGGCCAACCCCATGTTGAATCTCCCCACCAAGGACCTGGGCTTGGAGTACCTCACCTCCTTCAGCGATTTGGATGACGTCAGGTGAAGTACCTGCCCCTTCCTGTCAGGCTGTCTGTTGATGGTGGTCGTGGTGAAGATGGTGATGTTAGTAATGGTGGTGCTAGAGGTGGCGGTGAGGATGGTTGTGGTGACAGTGGTGGGGGCAGCAGTAGGGGTGGAGAGGGCAGGGCCCATGGTTAGGGAGGACTAGGCCTCCCAACAGTCTGGGCTCCACCGTTTTCCCCCCAGCCTTAACTCTCTGGATGAGAACTCTGTGGACCTGGGCACGAACAATCAGAAGACCAAGGTAAGGCCGGGATGCGCTTCTGGTTTGGGAGACTTCTCCAAAAGGTTAGGATGAAGGACAGAGAGAGGAGGGCCCTGTTGCAGACACAGGCAGCCTTGCCTCAGTGTACCAGGCCTCAGAAAGCCCCAGACCTTTGGAGTGAGGTCCCATCCCTGCTTCTCCCCTCATTCATCACGTGATCCTTGGTGGACGACTTCCTGCCTGTGTTTCTCAGTTTTCTCATCTGAAAATGGGGATCAGAATGTCAACCTTGCAGGGCAGTGGTGAGGGTTTAAGAGCAGGCATAAAAGCATTTGACACAAAGCAAGAGCTCAGAAATCTGGCTCTGCCCCTTTATAGCCTTTATATAAAGGCCAGTGGGGTGGAGGAAGAGATCCAGAAATGAATGCATAGCCAAGGAGACAAACAGTACCATCCTTAGTTAACTAGGTTAGTTCATTAGGCCAGTTAGTGTTCACAGCTTGGGCTACTGCTTAGAATCATTCTTTAAGTGCTCGGGTCACACCCAGAGATCCTGATTTGGTAGCCCAGGGAGGAGCCATGGCACAGATATGCCATCAAAGCTCCTCAGGAGATTCTAAGGTCCAGGCAGAGTTGAGAAGCCCTGCAGCTGGTCAGTGGACTGGGAGGGGCTCCAGAAGCAGAAGGAATGGCCACTTCTCCTCCCCCAGAGTAGCCACTCTCTAAGGCCATTCAAGCTGCAGTGGGTGAGGATCTCTCAAGAGGCGAAGGCACCCAGCCACCACTGTCCCTAAGCCAGCCTGCTCTGGGTCCCAGGCTTGTCTGGTGCCCATCCTCTACCTTCTGCCCTGCAGCTCCAGTGCCCTCATGTTTCAGTCCTTATTTTCCTCTAAGGACTCCTTGTTTGGAAAGATTTGGCTAACCAAAGCCACTCTTGGGCTTTAAAATACCCGAAGGCTGCCCTGGTGTCTCACAGTACAGAGCATCTGGCAGGGAGGTCTCCGAATGGGCCCCTAAGAATGGCAGTTGTGAGGGGCAACTGAGGCAATCCCTAGGCATGGCTCATCTCTGAACAGACCAGTGAATGTCTGAGAGAATGGAAGTAGGAAGGCCAGTGGTGCTATGGGAGTGAGGGCCCCCAAGCGAGGGCTGGGCCTGTGGTCAGGGAAGGAGCAGGAGCCATGAGAGAAGAGTAGCGAGAGCAGCAGGCTGTGTCACAGAGGGATTTCAAAGCCAGAGGACTTAAGACTTTGTCCAGGGAGGGAAACTTTTCCTCTCCTGCAGCAGTGGGTGAATCTTGGAGATCTTCGGCAGATCTAGGAAGCCATAGGGTCTTCTCAGGAGCCACCTGCCTCTCTTCTTCCTTGGCTGGGTGGGGACTCAGGTGAGGTCTTTTCCTGCCAGTCCTTGGGTGCTGTGACTTGCCCAGAAGTTCCATAAATGTGTAGAGGAAGGTGTGAGTGACAAGAAGGATCATCAGCTCCCACCTTTCCCAGTAAGCAACAGAGAAACTGAGCCCAGAGAGGGGTGCTGCTTTGCTCAGAGAGCTTGCAGGCAGGAACAGACCAAAACTCAGGTCTCTGGTCTTGGAAACAAGGTCACATTACCCTGGATCGTTCTGCTCCCTGCTTGGGATCAGTGGCAAGGGCTCTGTGCAACATAGGCAGAATATTTGGCCCCTCTGGGGCCCCTCAAATGTTCCACTGTTTACCAGGGACCAGAACAGCCCCAGTCTGGAAAAAGCCCTTGGAGTACCTTGGGGAGGATGATGGTGCCCAGGGCTCTGGCCCTGTGGGCATCTGCAACAGAGTAACTCAGCCTGCCAACCTGGCACCCCCCAGAGGATGTGTATGTGACTGGCAAGATGTGTGTGTGTGTGGCATGTCACATGGAAATGGGGAAGAGGAAGAGAAACGGGGAAGTTTGTGCCATGATGAATTGCCATTGGGAATGGATGTGACATGTCCTTCTAAGGGTGGCAGAAGAGATGCCAGATTCAACCAGGGGCAGTGCTGTACCATGGCCAGCCATTAGGTCAGCCAGACTAGTGGCCCAAACATGCCCTGGCCCACCAGTGCCCACGTGACCTCTCTCAGGGGGCTGCTGTGGTTGTTTTAGGCATGATGCCTACTGGGTGTGCAGGGGGCAGAGTGATGGGCTGGCTCCGTGGCACAGGCCACAGGACTGAACATTACTCAGGACTGAGCAGAGCATCAGAATGCTGCTGTCTGTGGGATGGGTAGACAAAGGCCAGAGATGACCCCCGAGGCGCAACCCTTCACCTGAGCCCATCAGCACCATCCATGGCCATCTGTGGCCACAGGAGACTAAGGAGGTCCCAAGAGAAGCAAGAGGGGATCCCAGCTGAGGAACCATCTGGTCATGGGCTTGAAGGCCCAACTGAACCTTTAGGGCCTGGGAAGATCTCTCCATCATCATCTTCCCCTCTTCCCCCAGAAGGATCCTCCTCACAGTGCACCAGAACCAGAGTCAGAGCCTGAGCCCCTGAAGACTGTGCTGTCGAGAAGAAAGGAAGCCCCAAGGGGACAGCAGCAGGAGGGCTTGTCCTTCACCAATGCTGGCCTGGACACCACAGACCTGTGATGGAGGCCCCTCTTCTGGCACCCCGGAAACTACACCCACTCCTCTCCAGATATAATAATATATGCTATTGCTTTGCTTCCTGCTTTCAGTCAATCACTGCACACAAGGACTGGGGAAAGATTTTATTACCAATGTATACTGTGACAGTTGTAGCCAAAAAATCAAGGCTGGTGGGGTGGGGACAAGGGGACTGAGTGGTCACAAGGGACTTGTGGGGGCTCACTGCACAGGGGGACAAGGGGCTGAAGAGAGTGGTCTTCAAAGGACAACTGTGGTTACAGAATGAGTGCTCCAGCCTGTCCCTGATAGCCAAGACTCGCTGTCACCCAAGCTGCAGTGGCTAGAGATCATCTGTGAGCCTTACTGTGACCTCCATTTGGGTCTGAGATCCTCTGACCCTCCTGTGCTGTCCCTCTCAGCTGAGGTCCCACAGCACTTCTTGGCCTTTGGCCCCTCTGGGGATTGTGAACCAGTGAGGGGTGTGGAGGGATGAGGGGTGTGTTGGAGAGGAGATTGGGCTGGGGTACTGGCCAGGTGTGTGGGAGAGGGGAGTTGGGGAAGGACCACCAACAACATGCAAGAGACACCAGCCACGGGGCTGTAGCACTGTGTGGAGATGCACTCATGCGTCTGGAAACTCAGGCCACCAGGGCCTCACATTCAGAGCTCAGCACTCGGGGCCTCGCACACCAGTCCTTGCACACATGGAGGATCACTTAGAGATTTGCATGCAGTCTTTCTGAGCTCTCTGGATGAGCCCCCCTGGAGACCTCAATGCCCCAGGTTGGCCATCTCTGGAGCCTGCCTCAGCTCTCAGGGGTGGGAAGTAGGGGTGCCCATCAGGTCCCCACCTCGCCCAGTGTGACCAGGAGAGAGAGTAGCTGAGGGCTGCCAGGGCACAAGGCGGCAGCAGGGCTGGGTTTGTGGGCTCATGGCCACCAAGGGACTGGGTAGAGGGGGTTCATTTGAGTGTTTGGGAAAGGGGATGAGAAGCCCCTCGAGGCTGCCCACCCCTCGGAGTCCTATCGCACATCGAAGGGACCCCGTCTAGGGGCCTTGGGTCAAGAAGGGAGCCTGAGACAGTTGGCAACCCGGGTGTACAAAACGAGGGAAGCTCATTCGGCCGTGGGTCCTGCCCGCGAGCAGCACCGCGGCCGGCGCACACTCTGCAGGAGCGCGCGGAAGAGGCCGGGTGGGCGTTTGGCAGCGCCTTCCTGGGGCGCAGCACGCACTGAGCCTGCTCTACCCGGGCCTGCTCTTGCGGCAGGCAGAGGCGCCGGGGCCCCTTGGCGGCCATGCTCCTCAATCTGTCGCTCCAAATGCTTCTGGATGGCCATTCCCAACACTTCCACTTCCATGGAGGCGCCGTACACCTCCCATGTCATGCCCTTCTCATCCCAGCTCACGTCGCGCACAGGCTCGGCCGCCTCCTGGGGCGCCAAGGCTGCAGCCAGCGCCG